TGTGTGTGTGTGTGTGTGTGTGTGTGTGTGTGTGTGTGTGTGTGTGTTTCAGCTTTTTGAGACAGAATCTCTATATAGCTGATCTTAACTCACTCTCCTAAACTCTGGGATTACAAGTATATGCCACCATACCTAGCTCCACTACTTATATTTTAGCAATCTTTTTAGGCTATAAACCTATAACACCTAAATTTTAATGATTAATCTTGTCTCGTGTTTGAGGAGACAGGGTCTTGTGCATCCCAGGCTGGCTTGCTCGCTGTTTACATGATGATCTTGAACTCCTGATGCAACTGCCTGCCTCCACCTCCCAAGTGTTACAATTACAGGTGTGCCCGCCACGCTTGGTTCTTTATCTTAAAAGCCAAGTTTTCACTCATAATTTTTTCCTTTCTTTCTTCCTTTCTTTTTTTCATTCATTCATTTATTGATTGATTTTTTGAGACAGGGTGTCTCTGTGTAGCCTTGAACTCACAGATATATGCTTGCCTCTGCCTTCCCACATGCTGGGATTACAGGTGTGCATGACCACACCTGGCTTTAAAAGTACATTTTTAAAATGGCATTACGTTAAGAAAAAAATAGGATATGCTTTAAAATTACACGAAAACATGAACCAGGAAGTAGAATACAATGGAATGTATAATTAAATAAGCTCTTACTGAAGTTTCTTTCACAGAAGAAATATCAGCTTAGTATCTCTTACACTGTTGCTTGACATGGAAGCCTTGATTTGAACAACCTTCGACTCACATGAAAACAATTAACTCTCATTTTCTATTATTGTCCTCTTTAAGGACTGTATTAAACTTAAGAATTTTTTCCAACTAATGTCTGTTTATAAAAGTACAGAATTCTAGGGTAGGTTTTGTGGCACACACCTTTAATCCCAGCACTCCAAAAGACAGAAGCTGTTGCAGCGCTATGTGTTTGGGCCAGTCTGATCTACATGCTGAGCTCCAGCCCAGCCAAAGCTATATAGAAAGACCCTGTCTCAAAAATAACATCAAAGATTATAAAACTTCAGAACTGAAATTACAACCTCATTTAGCGACTTCATTTTACCATTGAGAAACTGCCCCAAGAGGTTTTCAACGACATAGTAAAAGTCAATTCTGCTACTTTTCTGCTATGCTTTGTTTCATTATTTATGTAGATAGCCTGAAACTCACAATGTAGTCCAGAGTAGCCTTGAACTCATGGCATTCCTCTGCCTCAGTTTCCCAAGCACAAGGATAACAGGTATAAACTACTATGCCTGGCATTCTTTAAATTTCTTATTTTGAAATGATCGCTAACCTAGAGAAATTGCAAAATAACTTCTAAGAATTTTCATATAACCTTAGCTCATATCCCTCTAATTCTAACACTTAAGCACTTCTACTATTGTTTTTGTTTTGTTTGTTTCTTTGTTTTAAATAGGGTTTCTTTGTGTAGCCTTGGCTGTCTTTGTAGACCAGGCTGGCCGTGCACTCACAGAGATCTGCTAGGATTACAGGCATGTGTCACTGAGCCCAGCAATCATTTCTATTATTGTTATCGTCTGACTTTTTTTCTGGTTTGTTTAAAGTGGTAGTAGACATATCTCCTGTTTTAAAAGTGTTTATGGGTGTTTTACGTGCATGTATGTCTGGGCACCACTGTGTGCAGTACCAGAGTATTGGACCCCCTTAAACTGAAGTATGGGAGTTGCAGACAGTTGTGAGCTACCATGTGGTGCTCGGAATTGAATCTGAATCCTCTGGAAGAGCAGCCAGCGCTCTTACCCACTGAGCCACCTCTTCACCCATCTCCCCACTATCACTTTAACCCAAAATATTGTCTTATTTCCTAAATGCATTATCTTTTATAAAGACAGACAAATTGTCAAAAGCAGGAAATGAGTACTGTACTATTAACTAATCTGCAAATCTGAATTAAATTCCCTGAATCATCTCACTAATGATCACAGGGGAATATATCAAAAGAAGTGAAAAAATCAGGAATTAGTAGAATCAGAGGCTTCATTTAGTAAGCATCCTATTTATTTCATTGTTTTGTTTTGTTTGAAATAGAATCTTAATATGTATCCCACATTTGTCTCCCACCCGAATTAATTCTCCTAACAGCCTCCTGAGTCCTCGGTATACATGATCATGCCTGTCTAATTGTAGTATTTTTGAAAAAGTACAGATTATTTGTTATATAGAATTGCCCAAATTTTGTCTTTGGTTGTTTCTGTGTGTGTAGATCCCGTTAGCATTTTTGACAAGAATGAAAAAGAAGTATTGTTGTATCCCTTAAAATATAGATCATGTCAAGGGCCCCTAAATACTCATTTATCCCAGCACTAGGGATACTTTGACCACTTTTTTAAAGGATATATGTCAGGTTTCCCCATTATAAAATGAATATTCCTCTTTAATATGATAAGGACTTTGTGAGAACATTCTTCTTAAGCATTTCCTCATAAACACATCCTAGTAAAGTGGAAAAAGGTTCTTGTTTATAGGAAATACATCAGGTCCTTTGATATTTTCTTTTGGAGAATGAACTACCTGGAATTACTTATGGCTTTGCTCTATACTAAACAGTGCCCACCTTTTAAAGCCAGTGTTTACACATCTGCAGAGTAAGGTCAGATAGTACTTGTAACAAAAAAAAAATTAATTGCTAAAAGTTATATATCATAGGTATGTTAAACAGTATCCTTACCTTCAAGAATGGTAAGCAATGAAATTTATAGGTAATGATCTTAAGGCACTTTTCGTTTTACTTCAAAATGTTTCTTCCCATTTAAAAAAGTTAGCCAGAACTAGCTGGCTTTTCAAACTCTAAAACCAGTTTTGAAACTGAAACTAGGGGCTCAAGAATTTAGATTGTGAAACACATAAACACATACATAAGCAGTTAAAGAAAACATTTAATTTCCAAAGCAAAACATAAACATTTGACTTTCCTTTCCTCTGTAAAGCAGGACACCTGTCTGTAAGTCAGAGGACAAGGGCAGGGTTGGTTCTCTCCTTTCAAGTCAGTCCCAGGGGTCAAACTTGGGTCAGCAGGCATAGTAGCAAGTGCTTTTATTTTTTGAGCCACTTCATGGACCCTCCCTTTCTTTTTCTTGAGAGGTGATCACTTCACATAATGCAACCTAGTATGAACATATTCACGTGCTAAAAAAAACACTTCACCTTCTCTTCTCTTAGGAGTTCCATTTCAGCCCACTTCTAAAGGGGCTGAGCCCAACGTTCAGCAAATTTTCACATGATTTCACTTTATTTAGTACAACCAGATGTACAAGGTAAGAGCAGAGCTCATCACCCATCTATTGACAGGTAAAGAATTGGGTTAAGAATATGCCCAAGGTCAGCCACTAAGTCCAAGAAAGAGGCATGTCAAATGCCACTCACAGGTGCTCAACCTACTCAAATAAAACGAGACTATTCCTCGCAGGACAAACCTACCTGGTTCTTGCAATTTAAACAGAGACGGGCAAAAACATAAATATTACAAGAAACACCTAGACAATTTTATCTGCATCTAGGGTTTGGAAGGAAGAAAGGGAGAAATGACGTAATTATAATCTCAAAAGTAAATGAAGTAACAAATTTTTAAAAAGAAAGAAAACACTGTCAGCTGTCAGGGTGGCATACACCTGTCAATACCAGCACTGAGGTGGAGAAGACTCCCAGAGAGCACTAGAGAAACGGGATGTCCAATAGGAGGCCTTCCTCTTCCACGGAGGGAATCACGCCTGTTTCCACCCCGAAAGCTGGGACTGGATGTAGTCAATAACCTGGTGATCTGTGCCTCACCAGAATCTCCCAAACTACTGTGTTTATCCCAGACTCTTCCGAGACTCCTGAGCATTGTCTCTCAGTCAGTAGAATCCACTGTTAGGAGAGAAGTCCTGTATACTTTGCAAACCCCCATCCAGCTAATAGAACCCATCCTTACCTAAGAGGTCACAGGTACTTTGCAAAAGACATGTACTTTATAAAGAAGTTTCAATGTACTCATGACTTAAGTTTTATTGTGATCACTGTCACCAGGAAACCTTTTCCCAAAGTTGTACTGTCAAATATGTCAAAAATAAAACTGCTAGGGGTCAAACTCTAGAAGTGTGAACCAACACCAGCTGACCAGTTCTCCTTCATTACTAGAGGTTCATTACTCTGCCAGCAGCATTTTCAAGGATCACTCACACACTCTACACACACACACACACACGCACACACCCCTCAGGAGGCTAAAGCAGGAGATCACACATTTGAAGTTTGCTTCCTTAACACAGATCCAGATCAACATGAGCTACAGAAGGAGACTCCTGTCAAAAAACAGAGAGACAAACAATTATGAAGCAGGAGAGGAGGAAGTTGTGGAAAGGGAAGGGGGGAAAAGGGACAGAACAGGAAAGAAAAAACTAAAGTTAGGCATAAAGCTCAATGGTAAACTGTACAAGCCCCAGTTGCAATGCTCAGCCATATTAGGAAAAAATAAAATCAGATACAAAAAAGGAAAGAAAATACTTCCTTTGACCCAAAAGTTTAGTTAAGTATGAATAATAATACCTTTAATGATAGCACTGGGGAGACAGAGGTGGTGTGTCTCAAGAGTTCAAGGCCAGCCGGTCGTGACCGTATCAAAGAGAAAACAAAGAAATGTACAGGAGAAAAAGAGAAGCACTGGCTCTGTGATTAGGAAGGCAGTGTCATGTAGTAAGCAAAGAAAGTATGAGTCA